ATTAAAAGTCAATCTACAATCAATCGCGATTATTGCAATTTTAAGCAAAACATTCAAAAATAATATCACTATTTAAGGCTCAATCCAACATAGTATTGGGAACAAGTGTTGGTAATGCTCAATCCCACATAGTATTGGAAACACTATTTGGAATGTATTTAAGGCTTGGCTTTCCTACTTCCTTGTTGAGTGATAGAGAACAAGGGGAACTCTCGCGCGCCGCCGCCGCCGCCGTCCGTCTCGTCTCGTCTCGGGTCGTGTCGTGGCGAACTTGGACTATCGCAACGGATTTGGAATAAATCGCAACGCGAACTTCGACTATCGCAACGAACTTGGAATAAATCGCAACGCGAACTTGGACTATCGCAACGAATTTGGAATAAATCGCAACGCGAACTTCGACTATCGCAACGAACTTGGAATAAATCGCAACGCGAACTTGGACTATCGCAATGCGAATATGTAAATCGCAATACGATAGTCGAAGTTCGCGTTGCGAATCTGAAAACTGATTTGCGATACCGGAGATCGCGTTGCGAATTATCGATCGCATTGCGATTTAGTTGGTCATTTTGGCAAATCCAAAAAAGTTGATTAAAATCGTATATTATAAGGCATTTTTGGTCACTGGGTTATTTTCTCTTAAAATTAATGTGACCAAATTAGGAAAATGGTGCAAACTTTTTCAAAGTGCCACCAATTTTCAGGGTTGATAAAATAACACCCATTAAAGCATTTGTGTAAATTAGGCAAGTTAGAATGCAACTGTAAAACGGTTGAGATTAATGACAAAGTAGCAACCACCAAAACTTTCTTTTATAGTGTGGTTAGTTCACAGTTACTTTTTTCTGGTATAATCGGTATTGCAAAAACGATGAGAATTCTCTCAACTTAATTTATTTTATTCTTAATTCTATATCACCTAGCCAATTTATGTTTAATTTTCATAAAAAACCAAAGCAAAAGTAGAGGAGGAAATTGATTTTATTAGAATCCATTTTTTAAAACATTCAAAACTGTATTTATATCCAATTAAATTATGTGACATATAAATCTATTTATAGCCACCTACTATTTAAATTCAACCAAATAGAAATTATAGAATATTCAAATGCTTGGTAAAATTCTATCATGATTTCATTTTCTAGATTTTACATATCTGATATGATTAAAATTAAAACGAATTTAGATACTAGAAATTTAAAGTATAGTATATAAACGATAAGTATAATAGTCAAATTAATAAAAAAAATAGAATAATAAAAGACATAATGTCAAAATAACTCTCAATGTTTACTACAATAATCATTTCTTATATATATATATATATATATATATATATATTGTAACATCCTTAATATCGGGTTAAGTGACTAAATTGTAAAGTTTCAGAATTTGGTGATTTAAAGTATAATAATTGATTAGTGCAAGGACTTATATGAAATGTTGTGTAGGATCAAATTATAAAGAAGAAAGAATAGAAGGATAGAATGATCTTTTGCAAGGAAAATAATTAAAGAATGGATTTATATATATTAGTTCCACGTGGAAGAGAAGAAAGAAAAACCAAGGTTCCAGAGTTCTATTCTTCTCTTCTTTTCTCCCAAACGTGAAGACTTATAGCAAAGGTGAGATTTTTCATAAGCTAATTGTTTGCTGAATTTTAAGTTTGGTATTGCTCCTTAGATGTTAATTAAGCTTAAGGAAAGTTTAATTTGCTTTAAAACAACAAGATAAAGAGTGTAGGAATAATTAAAGATTAGGAGTGTTTGAATGGAATTTTAAAAAAGAGTTCATATTTGGAATTTTGAGGGAGATTCCTGAAATCTATGTGGATGATTGATTTTTTTTAAGTATAAGAGGTATTGAATGGGTATTAATTAGTTTAAGTAGATGCATGCAAGTTAAGGAGATAAAAGATGGGAAATATGAAGTGTTGAGAGGATTATGAAGAGATTTTCGTGCTAAAATAACATTTATGGGCTGTGTGCATCAATGCACATTCAATGTGTACCAATGCATCAAGGGTAAAATCCCAGAAATTGTTCAAGGTGTATCGATGCACATGGGGTGTATCGATGCACTCCTTTAAAATAAAAACATCGAATGTCATTAGTGTATCGATGCACAAGTAGTGCATCGTTGCACCCCCTTAAAATACAAACATCGAATGAGATTTATGACCCGATGCATAGATTGTGCATCGATGCACCCGTCAAGGGATGCATCGATACATGGTGTAGTGCATCGATGCATACTTTCATTAAAAGATGAAAATAACTTTCTTTTTAGCCTATGGAGTGATAGTTTAGAATATATTAATTAGTATACTAATTAGTATCAATGTATTACTATGTAGATATAAAATGTAATTTCGTTCCGGAACAAAAAAAAAGATTAGGATCAAGTCAAAATAAGCAAGGCCAAGGTGAGTGCATATCCTAGATGAAATGGAATTGAGACAAGACTTGCGATAAGTCTATATCTTATCATTGAATTTATGATTTTATATTCATGCACATGCATACATATATATGTGTTAATGTTATAGTGATTTCATGCATTTCATGAATTTTTCATTCATGATTAACATGGTATCATATGAATGAATGTCATTATCAGAGAATTCTTCCAGATATATGAAATAATGAAAATGATCATATGAAGTGACTTATGTGTTTACATGGATAGTGATGAAATATATATGAAATGAGAAATGTATTTATAATTAAGTCTATATTATTTAATATGAGAGCTATAGGTATAATTGGCATGCCAAAAGTCGAGGGATTATCAGTGGTCCTTCGGGACATAGTGGTTCTTCGGAACAATCAGTGGTCCTTCGGGACATAGTGGTCCTTTGGGACAAATATTCAGTGCCCATTGAGGGAATTATACGAGCTGTGGTGACAGTATAGTGCACAACCTCTATGTACTCACATACCTTTGTTCTCCATAATGTACATGGGCAATTCAAAGATAAGTTAAAGTGGAATTAGCATAAGAATATATGTTTTATATGTGCATGTTACCGTCATATATGTTATAGTGAAATAGATGCATACAAATAGAGATGTCATGATCAGATGGTAAGAATGCATGTTCATGAATGCATTGTTATATATATATATATATATATATATTTATATTATGTCTCATTAAGTTTATAACTTAGCGTGTAAGTGATTTACACGTAGGTACCAAGAATCAAAAGGAGCAGTAATAGAGGCGGCAAGGACAACATTACTATTAAAAGATCAGATCATAAGTAATTGACAAAGTAGGTATTTTGGTTGTGTATAGAGTGTTGGCATGTAATAAGTGGTTAATTACGAATGCTCTGATCGATTTTGAATTGTGTGGTCTCTTTTATGTAAATTAATGTATTTGGTTTTAATGAAAGTTTAAAATTTTCATGTTTTTCTTTAAGTGTCAAAGTTTGAAAAGTCAATGTGACACATCGGACTCATATTCGGGTCGGATATGGGTTAAGGGTGTTACATATATATATATATATATTGTATTTTGGCTCCTAACATTTTTTTATGTAAAAAAAATTCTTAACATTTGATAGAATAATTAATTTATCCTTATTACTTCTTCTGAGACATTTTAGTACTAAACATTTCATTTTAGGTTCAAAATATCATATTTTGGAGCGTTAATCGTGTTAACTAATGATTTTAATCTATAGAGAGAGTTTTTTTACCCCAAAGTGAATTGTTGGAGTTTAAAATGCTAAAAAAATAATAGAACCAAACTGACCATTTCTGTAAACATTTGAGGTTATTTTTAACATTATGACATAATAAAATTAGTCTAAACATTTGCATAAATTATTATTTTGACATTTATTCTTTTTTGGAGCATTTTAAACCCTAGTATTTTTTTTTGTCGATATATCCCTTACTAGAAGGAAATTGTTTGTTCATTGATGATCAACACATTGACGTGTTATTTTTCTATTGCTCAATTATTGACATGATATTTGTCACATCATCTCAAGTAATGACGCGATATGTATCATATCATTTATAATAATAACGTGATATATGTCATGTTATCTAAAGTAATAATGTGATATGTGTCAAATCAATAAAATTTATTGACCATTAATCAACGAACTATTTTATTTTAACAGTAATTTTTTTTATCAAAAGTTAAAATATTAAAATTTAAAATACTAGGAAAAATAAAGATTAAAACAATTATTTGTAAGACGTTGGAGATAATTTTATTATTATGTATAAAATATAGTATACTTCCTGCAATAATTTTCTGTCAGTCCAGTTTAGTTCAACTACCCTGATAAACAGAAATAAACTAACTCCAAATGAATTGTTTTTGGATTCAGAGTTATAATCAACATCAACACATTGTCATTTATTGAAGAAAACAATTAAAAGGATTTGAAAACTGAAAAGTCTTGATCATAATCTGCTACCTTCTTACATCATCTGACCGTGACTGTCACTGTGTTCAATTCACTCATCCTGAAACCAACTTTAACCGTTCAAGAATCTTTGCCTAAACAACTTGAAAATTCTATTACAACAAACCAAACCCAAAGCTCAAAACAGGGAGAAATTTATGAACAGGTAATATACTTTTCTTAAAATGGATGGTAATGACATAGACAAATCATGCAGTATGCTTTCCACTTTCAACTATTTTAAAAAGCAAATGTGTTTATTTAATTCATTTATCAATAATTCCGTCAATAAAGCAATTTATTATTATCTTTTTCTCTTCTTCTTTATTTCTGGTTCTTATGAAATGTATTGCGTGGTGTGGTCATCTCTTTGATTCCAACATCCAGCTACTGTATAAGTATGGCTACAAATTAAATAAACCCCAAAGCCTAAAGAAACGTGTGGGCATTGTGAAAGCTACGAGTGCTGTTTTATCATATGATAATGAAGGAAGTAAGTATTTAGTTAAGCCATATACGCCTACCAAAGCGTAAGCATCTCTTTACTTTTTCGTTTTTAACAGTGTCAGTCACGTCAGAATGGAACAAAAAACAAAAACCCAAATTACAAATAATGGAAAACCGTGTTGTGCATATTTATTTAAGTATAAATGTAGATGATAATGCTACAGGCATAGGCTGTGTAAACATATAAGCTTCTCCGTGGCTTGGGATTCTTCTTGCAAATCGTGCTTGCCCAACTTTTTCTTGCGTATGGCTAAATATGTATAAAATTCGCACCGTAAAAAATGATCAATTTTTTATAAAGTTGGAAGAATAAGAAAGGGGGCCTCGGACCAAAACTATTTATGGTTTCTGGGAAGTGACCAGTTCAGGGAGAGATGGTGGGAAAATGGAGAACAGGTTTGGTTTTGGTTCTGGTTGCAGTCTGCATTTTGGGGTTCAAGCTTAGGTGTTCCGATGGTGCAACAGATCAAGGCGATGGTTGGTGTTGTTTCGCTTTGCTTTTATGCCTTATTCTGCTCATATAGATTTTGCACATGTTTAAGTTTCGTGGTAAATCTGTTCTTTTTTCTTCTTCTTTTATGCGGCTTTTGCTTTTGTTGCCTTTCTGTTATCTGTTTTGAGCTGCTTGCGGCTTCAAATGGGCCGACTTCATTGCATTGCCTTTTTAACTTTGTTAGCGATGTTTAAAAATGTTGATATTGCTTTTCGCAGCTGGGTTCTTGTAGATTATGGAGATAAGAGATGAGAAATGTTTGGTTTTTCATTTGTCATTTCAGTTCATAACTTGATAGGATATGGATTTTTGGACAAGTTTGTATATACAGCAAACTCGGGTCCGGCCATGTTACTTGGTCTTTCTTTCCCTCTCTCTATATACTGGAAATAGGTATCAGTTCTCCAGTACTTAAAAGGTTATTCATTGAAACTGAGATCATTTTTCAGATTTCGCTGTTTTCTTTTGGTTCCATTATTTCTGGCCAAATCTTGTTCGGACTAATAATTTCTAATTTATACCTTGTTCACTGTGGATCACCTAAGTACTACGCACTTGCTGGATGGATAAATTTGTTAAACCACACATACGTGCATGAAAGCACACATTAACATACGATTGATTATGTTATATATATTTTTTTCTTGAACTCTTACTACAGTGCCGCCAAAGAATTTAAGATTTGTAATTAGAAATTCTCTCATTGGGTTACTCATCCTGCTTGTGTGATCTTTGACATGCAGCTACTGCCCTAGGGGTTATGTTCAGCAGTTTAAATTCACCGCAGCAGCTTACTGGATGGACTGCTAACAATGGTGATCCATGTGGGCAGCCCTGGAAAGGTGTTACTTGCTCAGGCCAAGTTGTCACCGAAATGTGATCTTCTGTATTCCCTGTTTTCCTTTGAGATGTTTTGCCCTTCATGCTGTTCCTAACTGTTAAATTCTTCGACTGTCCTGTTTACTAGTAATCTGTCAAATCTTGGACTTTCTGGCTCAGTGGGTTACAACCTTGAAAGTTTGACATCATTGAAGGAACTGTAAGAAACCTAATCTTCGACGATGTGTGTGTTTGTGTGTATACTATGCATGCTTGTGTATGGTCTTCACACTGATTTGAAAAAATCCGCAGGGACTTGAGCCAAAACAATCTTGCAGGCAATATACCATATAATATTCCTCAGAACTTGACACGGCTGTAAGTTACATATGAGAATTTACTATTGTTTCATTTCTGATTTTTTAGTGAACTTTATATAATGTGTTCATTTATATGCAGAAATCTTGCATATAATCAATTTACTGGAAGCGTCCCTTATTCCATTAATCAGATGCATTCTCTTCAGTACCTGTAAGTAATGTTCCAAACATTTATTTTATCACACAAAGTCCAAAGTCATTTAAGCTCTTATACTTTTTCTCCCTTTTCTACCACTGGAAATGCAGAAATCTTAGTCATAACCAGTTACAGTACCAATTAAATGAAATGTTTGGACCACTTTCTTCTCTCTCCACAATGTAAGATATTCTTCTTACTACCAATTAGATTATATAGATTTTCATGTACGTCTGTCTTTTAAGCTAATTTACTAAAGACCAAGTTTGCAATTATTTTTACTTTTTGTTTCAGGGATCTCTCTTTCAACAATCTAACTGATGCCCTCCCTGAGAGTTTTAAGAATCTTACAAGTGTGAAGTCTATGTAAGTATTAGAGGCAATATCTTTTATGGAACAAGTATATATGGCTGATTTTCTTGAATATATATCATTTACCCTTTTGCAGGTACTTGCAAAACAACCAGTTTACAGGCACTATTGATGTCCTTGCCAACCTTCCCCTTGATAATCTGTGGGTGACCAGTATATCAGTTTAAATATTCTAACATGTTGTGGTCTCTTGTTTTCTTATCATGTAATTGAAACTGTAATACTGCCCTTATGATAGTTGTTTTTATGCCCGTCAGTTATATTTCCAATAACCATTTTACCGGCTGGATACCTGATCAATTGAAAAGTATCAATTTGCAGTAAGCATTTGACTTCATCATCAAGTGCTCTATTTATATTTTGTGTCAAAGAAAGTTCTTCACAAGTTCAATTTGAAAAATCTCCATGACAGGACGGACGGTAATTCATGGAGTTCAGGGCTTGCACCCCCTCCTCCACCTGGTACCCCTCCTGCCCCTAGAAACAACACAATGCACAAATCTGTTAGCCATACTTCCCCACCAGACAGTGGTTCCAGTAGTGGGAGTACCAGCAAATCAGGGATTGGAGGTGGAGGCATAGCAGGAATTGTGATATCTATCCTTATTGTTAGCGCTATACTAGCATTCTTTCTGGTGAAGAGAAGATCCAGGAGATCATCGTCAGATATTGAAAAGCTTGATAATCAATCGTTTGCTCCTCTAGCTTCTAAGGAAGTGCAAGGTAACTCTCATACTTTACCTGCAATTCCGCGTAGTGGCTAGTTGAGTCGCATCATATATCTATCTTTATTGTTTTCTCCATGTTGCTTGTAATGCTGTGCATTTTAATTAACTGCTTCTGTGAGTGTGTTTCAGTTTCAGCTGCAAACAGCTATAACCTTTTGCTTGTAGTTATTAAATCTCTTAAGAACATATAAGGATTTTGATTCAGAACGAATCTCCTTGGTGTTGTGACTTAAGACTTCATTTGAAGCATGGAATATCCAGAGTTTGTGCTCAATATAATATAAATGTGGCGAACTGATGCCGTAAAATTTCAGTAGGTTATAAGAATATATGCTCCATGAGAAATCCCATCATGACTCCATAATGGTGGCAAAATGTTCTTATTTTATCACATTTAAATGCTACTTCATGCAGCTGGACACTTGTTTTCTTCTTTTGATCTGTTTCTTATGCTTAAAATTGTATTGCAGAAAGGAAATCCATTCAATCTTCCTCTTCACTTGACACCAAGATGTTTGATAAACCCGCTTCAGTAAACCTTCGACCCCCACCTGTAGACCGTCTCAAATCATTTGATGAAGAAGACTTTTCTAATAAGTCCATTGTTGTTAAGAAAGCTGTCTCAGCTCCTTTAGATGTTACATCATATTCAATAGCAGACCTCCAGATAGCTACGGGGAGTTTCAGTGTTGAAAATCTTCTTGGTGAAGGAACTTTTGGACGCGTTTATCGAGCCCAATTGGATGATGGCAAGGTAGACTCTTGCTTCCTAGAAAACCATGGTTATGTCAACATAAATGCTGAATAATTATCGTCAATGAAAATATAACCCTTTAATGCAATTAATACTACAGAGTACAGATGCCAAATTTTCTGATCTCCCTAATTTTTTTCCTTCATAGTTTGACATTTTAATTGTCTTAACTGCTATAAAAATTATCTACTCAATACTCATATATATATATATGCCAACTTTTGTTTATACTGCTGTAGGTTCTTGCTGTGAAGAAAATAGATTCAACAGCTCTTCCCAGTGAAAATTCTGATGAATTTATAGAGATGGTTTCAAATATATCTCAGCTGCATCACACTAATGTAACAGAGCTGATTGGCTATTGTTCAGTGCATGGGCAACACCTGCTTGTCTATGAGTTCTACAAAAATGGCTCACTTCATGACTTCCTGCATCTATCAGATGAGTACAGCAAGCCTTTGATTTGGAATTCCCGCGTCAAAATTGCGTTGGGGACTGCACGTGCACTAGAGTAAGTTTATAATTCAATAATGGAGAACAATATCTACAGTTTATCTCAATTTAGATCATCACTGAAAAGGGAAGGAGTTGCATGTATTCTCCTTTTCGCTTCCTTCAGGACAGCTAATTCAGAGCATCCTAACCTGCAATATATTTTACTCTCCTCTATCGTCTTCTTCTGCAACCCGGGTTAATTTGGCTTTTGTACCATCTAATTGAAACAGTTTACTAATTTGTGGTCGAGTGTGTCTTGTTCAACTTTTTCCAAGTCATGCTATGGTATTCCATCAAACCTTAACAAAGTCATGGTAGATCAGTGATAGGGTTAACACTGTTGTCATGGCTTAAATTAGAGATGCCGTGATTGAGAAGTAATCATTTGTAAGACGCTAATAGAGTATCTGTTGAATATTAAGAATCTCCAATTTTTTGTCAAGATCAGATGCGTAATATTCAGTTATCTATTTATAATGCAAGGGACCTTCTTACCTGCAGTGCTTATTTTCTTGTGTTCAATGGTTACTTCGAATTCATAAAAGGAATTTTTTTTTCTAGGTACCTTCATGAAGTTTGCTCACCGTCTGTTGTGTTGGATATATGAACTGCAAAACTACACCGTTAGCACTGACTGAAAATATAAACAGTAATTAAGAAGAACAGATTCGTAAACCGTGTCGTGGTAAGAACCACTGCCTTAGAAACGAATTCGCCTCGATGTGTGTAATCGCTGCAGTAGGCGGACCGTCCATAAAATAACTCCCGAAACGACTAGATGAACCTGACTCAGAAATAGTCCAGGTTCATTGTATCATTATTCAACTGTTATAACTCCCGAAATTATATCATGTAACCCCTGGAATTAAATCAAATAACTCCTGTAACTCCTGATATTAACAGCTTGTCTCCTCTGTACAAAGCTGTAATCAGTCCAGGTACATCTTAACGTTTCTGATTTAATTTAGGAATAAACTGTTTAATTTCTGATAAAAAATAATTCAGCTGTTATTATTTGAAATTCAAACAGTCCTCAGCAGCCTATAAATATCAGTTGATATCTTTCACATTTTCCATTTGTTTCTTTCAAAGAGAAATTCCTCAAGAATTTTCTCTAAAAAGATAGTATCCGCGCGGACGTGTCGAAGACACGTATTACCACGACCACGACCACGACCACGACCTCGACCTCGACCTCGACCTCGACCACGACCACGAGCCGAGCCGAGCCGTGCCGTGCCGTGCCGAGCCGAGACGAGACGGACGGACGGCGGCGGCGGTGCGCGAGAGCCCCCCTTGTTCTCTATCACTCAACAAGGAAGTGGAATGTCAAGCATTAAATACCATTCCCAATAGTGTTTCCAACACTATGTGGGATTGAGCATTACCAACATTCCCCCACTAATGCGAAAGAAATCTTCTGAAACTCGAAAACAAGCTTTCCAGAAGAGTAATAGCGAGATTAGTTGCTTAAGCACTAGTGAACATATCTGGAACTAGTACATAGTGATGATGAGCAATCCTTCTCTTAGATAAGTGAAACTAGTCTGGAACTTTCTAAGATCAGGGTAAACTCATAACACACAACTAACCCCTTCATCCACCTGAGTCCTCGATGTGTAAGATATATATACAAAAGTATATATTTGGCCATCTTACCTCAGGTTTCTAGTAAGTGTGCTAGAAAAATAGCCCAACATTTTTCATAGAAGGCGGCTAACCCTTCTCACTTACATAGGTTATTTCATCAAGTTTATCTCAACATAAACCACCCTTTAAAAAGGAATATGAAATAATTAAGAGCTTTTATAATAGCTCAACCTCACAAAGGGTATGGTGACTTTTTTCAAGTTCATTATAAATGAACCACCCAAACTCTGGGCTAAGAAGTCATTAAGAATAAATATTCAACCTCATTTATCGGTAAATTCAATAAGTCCTTCTCACTAGAACCATCCAAATACTTGGATTTGAATTTATTAAGAGTTTAACAAACTCAACCTTTCTGTCGGTAAGTTCATCATTTCCTACCCACTCACTCTGGGTTATGAACTTATTAAGAATAGATATTCAGCCAAAATCGGTAAATTCATCAAGTCTTTCTCACTAAGACCACCCAAAGCCTGGGCTATGAATTTATTAAGAGCAATTAAGCTCATCCTGGGCATGCACATTATTCATCATAGGGATAGGCAGTAGGAATGTGCACTATGAGTCTTTCCATGGTTTCGTTTGACCACATGGAACTTAGATAACTAAGTTGGGTATCCACCATGAATTCCTCAACCAATGGGCTTTAGACCCATCCCCCTCGACGAATCTAGGACCAGCTTCCGACTTAACCCTTTGGTAAGTGGATCTGCTAGGTTCCTTTCCGACTTCACATACTCTAAAGAGAGCACTCCATTCTTTATCAAGTGTCTAACTGATTCATGTCTTATGCGAATGTGTCTTTTCTTACCATTGTAAGCTTGGTTCTTAGCCACACATATCGCAGCTTGTGAATCACACAACAATGAAACTGGAGGAGTCGGTCTTCCCCACAACGGAATATCTGCTAACAAGCTTCTGAGCCACTCGGCTTCTTGCCCAGCTAGGTCAAGAGCTATAAACTCTGACTCCATGGTAGAACGAGCAATACAAGTCTGCTTTGATGATTTCCACGAGATCGCTGCTCCACCCAAAGTAAAAACATACCCGCTCGTAGAGCTTACCTCATCATTATCAGAAACCCAGTTGGCATCACAATATCCTTCCAATACCGCAGGAAAGCCAACAAACTCAAGTTTCCAATTCACAGTACCCTTAAGATACTTCAGTAAGCGTTTAAGCGCAATCCAGTGCTCACCACTCGGATTATGAGTATATCTACTTAGTCTACTCACAGCATAAGCAATATCAGGCCGAGTATAGTTCATTAAGAACATTAAACTTCCGATTAATTTAGCATATTCAGTTTGGGAAACACTACTTCCTTTATTCTTAACTAGATGTATGCTAGGGTCATAAGGAGTTCGAACAGGGACGACATCAAAACTGTCAAATTTCTTTAGCACTTTCTCTATATAATGTGCTTGACATAAAGAAAATCCCTTCTCAGTTTTGGTAATTTTGACTCCTAAGATTACATCTACTTCTCCCAAATCTGTCATCTCAAACTTAGTGGACAAGAAATTTTTAACTTTGTTAATGGACTCAATGTTAGAACTGAAAATCAACATGTCGTCAACATAAAGACTTATGATAACACATTCAGTTTCAAACATCTTCGAATACACACAAGCATCCGAACCATTCACAACAAAACCAAAACTAAGAATAGTTTTATGAAATTTCTCATACCACTGTTTAGGAGCCTGCTTAAGTCCATAGAGTGACTTTTTGAGTCTACAAACTTTGCCTTCCATACCAGGTGCCTCAAAACCTAGTGGCTGCTCCATGTAAATCTCCTCATCTAGATCCCCATTCAAGAAAGCAGTCTTAACATCCATTTGATGTACCTGCAACTTATGAATAGAGGCTAGTGCAAATAATGCACGAATCGTTGAGATTTTTGTAACGGGAGAGTATGTATCAAAGTAGTCTAAACCAAACCTTTGAGTGAACCCTTTGACGACTAACCTTGCCTTGTATCGCTGAATCGAACCATCTGGCCTTAGTTTCTTCCGGAAGACCCATTTGTTGGAGATTGGTTTGAATCCCTTAGGCAAGTCAACTAATTCCCAAGTATGATTAGACATTATCGATTCTAGTTCATCATTAACAGCGCTTTTCCAAAAACTAGCATCGATAGATCTTATAGCTTCTTCAAAAGTTTTAGGATCCTCATCTAATAGAAAAATTTGAGCTATAGGATCTGAAATGAAGTCTAAATCATTTATCTCAGAAATAAAGGAAGTAATAAAATCTGGTCCAAAAGAGGTTTCAACTCTTTGCCTTTTACTTCTTCTAGGCTCAAAACCATTTTGTTCAGAAGACCTAGCAGGTTTACTAGAAGAAGTTGATGGAATATATTCTATTTGTGTTTCAATATTTATTCTCGGTTCCTTTAAAGGAAAAGTATTTTCAAAGAAAACAGCATCTCTTGATTCACAAATAGAATAATCTTGTAAAAGCATGAATCTGTATGCATCACTATTCGTAGCATACCCTATAAACACTGCATCAACGGTTTTAGGTCCGATGGTGAACTTCTTAAAGTCTGGCAAGCCCACTTTAGCCAGACACCCCCACACTTTCAGGTATTGTAAATTAGGAGCGTATCCTTTCCACAATTCATATGGGGTAGAATCTAATTTCTTATGAGGAACTCGGTTCAAGATATGAGTTGCCGATAGAATGGCCTCCCCCCACATGTTATCAGATAACCCAGAACTTATTAGTAAAGAATTCATCATCTCTTTTAAAGTTCTATTTTTCCTTTCGGCTATACCATTCTGTTGAGGAAAATAGGGGGCTGATGTTTCATGAATTATGCCATTCTTTTCACAAATATCTTTTAAGAAATTAGATCCATATTCACCACCTCTATCAGATCTAACTCGTTTGATTCTCCTATCTAACTGATTTTCAACTTCTGCCTTATAAATAAGAAAGAAGTTTTCAGCTTCATCTTTAGTTCTTAGGAGATAAACTTTTGTATATCTTGAATAATCATCTACAAAAGTTATGTAGTAGTGTTTTCCTCCTTTACTTTCAGTGTTTCTAAAATCTGCTAGATCAGTATGAATGAGTTCTAACAGTTCAGTCTTTCTATTAGAAACAGTCTTAAAGTGAGGTTTAGTATGCTTAGCTTCTACACAAATCTCACATTTGTTAAAGCTAGTTGTGTCTAGTTTAGGCAGAACATTCATATTCATTAATTTTTTTAAAGCATGAATATTCACGTGTCCTAATCTAGCATGCCACATATCAATGGATTCAACAATATAAGCAGAAGTGGTAGCTTTATTTTCATTAAATTGAGTTTCTATGACAAATAAACCATTGCTTAAAACCCTTTCCCCACATAATCACCATTTCGGGAAAGTACAAGTTTATCTGCCTCAAAAACTAACTTAATGCCTGCCTTATTCAGAAGCCCACCACTTATCAAATTTCTACGCAAGGCAGGTACAAACAGAACATTATTTAAAGCCAGAGTTTTACCAGAAGTCAGCTTGAGTAAAACCTTGCCTTTGCCTAGCACTTCAGAGCTGCTAGAGTTCCCCATGTACACACGTTCACCAGTGTTTCCATCCTCGAACTCAGTGAAAAACTCCTTCCTTGCGCAGAAATGCTTCGAAGCGCCAGTGTCAACTACCCATTCTGAACTGTTCTCCACCAGATTAACTTCTGAGACCACCGCAGCAATGATCTCATCATCTTCTTCTACAACGTGCATCTGTGGCTTGTTGTCATTCTGGCGGTCTGAGCGGTGTTGGCATTGGTAAGCCTTGTGGCCAGGTAAACCGCAGACATAACACTTGAACGTCTTTCCTTCCGGTTTGGCCTTTCCTGACTTCTTGAAGTTGGTAGCCTTCTGTGGTTTCGTCTTTTTGTCTTGATTCCCACGTTTCATGATCTTCTTAAATTTGGACTCAACCAAGTTAGCTCTAAAAGATAAATTACTCATAGAATTAGTAAGCTTATCTTTTAAACGGTTGGCTTCTTCAATCTTCATATGGCCCACAAGTTCTTCAAGCGAAATGTCTCTCTTCTTATGCTTAAGAGAGTTACGGTAATCGGACCAGGACTTGGGCAGTTTCTCAATGAGTACATTGGCTTGCAGCACCTCACACATTTGCATCCCTTCAGCGATGATGTCAGCGACTAAGTTCTCATAGTCATGGACTTGATCCATTATTGGCTTGTCGTCTGTCATCTGGAATTTGAGCCATTCGCCGACAACGTACTTCTTGATCCCCGCATCATCCGCACCATACTTCTTGTCGAGAGTGTCCCATATTGCCTTGGCACTCTTTTCTCTAAGGAACATATCAAATAGTTTATTTGACATGTGGCTGAGCAGATGTCCTCGTACCGTCTTGTTATCCTTCTCGAATTTCTCGTAAGTAGCGAGAGCGGCGGCGGCAGTTGCTAAGGCATCATCATTGAGGACCGCATCAGCATCATTACCAACAGCTGGGGTTGGCGGCATGGTAGGTGGTGGCTTGAGCAACACGTAATCAAGATCAAGTTGCTCGAAGAATATAAGAATTCTTTGGGACCACCTTCTATAGTTCTTTCCATCAAGTGCATCGAGCTTGGAAAGATCGGGAATGAGTTTGCTCAAAGGTGTCGACATGATTGCAGTTTATGGGAATTCGTTTCTAAATTGTTGGATATATGAACTGCAAAACTACACCGTTAGCACTGACTGAAAATATAAACAGTAATTAAGAAGAACAGATTCGTAAACCGTGTCGTGGTAAGAACCACTGCCTTAGAAACGAATTCGCCTCGATGTGTGTAATCGCTGCAGTAGGCGGACCGTCCCCCGAGGTTAACACGGTCGCTCCGAATTCCGTACACCCGAAACCGGAGTGGACTGCTGGTGGTATTGCACTTCTGATCGGAAAGCACTCAGAGAGAACTCACAGAGAGAACTTTAGAAAACACTTTGGTAAGTGAATTGTGAATGTTTTGGAGTGAGTTGAGAAGCTGAATATAGCTCTCTATTTATAGGCTAGAAATAGGGTTAAAGTTGTCCATAAAATTTCAGGATTAAACCTCTTATTTGTAACAGCTGAAACGACTAGATGAACCTGACTCAGAAATAGTCCAGGTTCATTGTATCATTATTCAGCTGTTATAACTCCCGAAATTATATCATGTAACCCCTGGAATTAAATCAAATAACTCCTGTAACTCCTGATATTAACAGCTTGTCTCCTCTGTACAAAGCTGTAAATCAGTCCAGGTACATCTTAACGTTTCTGATTTAATTTAGGAATAAACTGTTTAATTTCTTATAAAAAATAATTCAGCTGTTATTATTTGAAATTCAAACAGTCCTCAGCAGCCTATAAATATCAGTTGATATCTTTCACATTTTCCATTTGTTTCTTTCAAAGAGAAATTCCTCAAGAATTTTCTCTAAAAAGATAGTATCCGGTGTCCAAGACACGTATTACCACGACCACGACCACGACCACGACCACGACCACGACCACGACCACGACCACGACCACGACCACGACCTCGACCTCGACCTCGACCTCGACCACGACCTCGACCTCGACCTCGACCTCGACCTCGACCTCGACCTCGACCTCGACCTCGACCTCGACCTCGACCTCGACCTCGACCTCGACCTCGACCTCGACCTCGACCTCGACCTCGACCTCGACCTCGACCTCGACCTCGACCACGAGCACGAGCACGAGCCGTGCCGTGCCGTGCCGTGCCGAGCCGAGACGGACGGACGGCGGCGGCGGTGCGCGAGAGCCCCCCTTGTTCTCTATCACTCAACAAGGAAGTGGAATGTCAAGCCTTAAATACCATTCCCAATAGTGTTTCCAACACTATGTGGGATTGAGCATTACCAACATGTTGTTCATAAAAATATCAAGTCAGCCAACATCTTACTTGATGCTGAGCTCAATCCTCACCTTTCAGACTCAGGATTGCCAACCTATATTCCCAATGCAGATCAGGTGAATATCGTGTATCACAGAATTCACTTTTATTGCATGAATTTGTCATTTCCTTCATAGTTATTGAGTTTCATGCTAGATCCCGAACTATGTTGTAAAGCATTTATTCCTTGAATTATCAAGTCTATTTTGTTCGATTTGCTCTATTTCCTTCATAGACTCAGGATTGGCAACCTTTATTCTCAATGCAGTTACTGAATGGTAATGACATGGGGTCTGGATACAAGGCACCGGAGGTTACTATGTCTGGGCAGTACTCCCTGAAGAGTGATGTTTACAGTTTCGGGGTGGTTATGTTAGAACTTCTCACAGGGCGTAAGCCATTTGATAGGTGAGGAATCCTCCATGGAGAACCGGGCATTCCATCGTTTAACGTAATAAAATCCTGTTATTTCGCCACAATTCTAAACGTAACATGTGGGTATTCTTAACAGCACAAGGCCAAGATTAGAGCAATCTTTGGTTCGATGGGCAACGCCTCAGCTCCATGATATCGATGCTCTATCTAAGATGGTTGATCCAGCACTTGAAGGGCTTTACCCTATTAAATCTCTCTCTCGTTTTGCCGATGTTATTGCACTTTGTGTCCAGGTAATGCCTTGGTTGAAAAAAAGCCAGACTAGCTCCTTTTTTTTCTTGTTTCACCATGTTGAATCTTCAATGAGTTGTGCATAAGCTTGGTGTTGATGCAACAGTCAATTTTCTAAACATATAGAAAGAGAATAGACATACTGTAAAACACAAACTCATACTTACCTGTCCGGATTCTAAACCAATGGGAAATGGAGAGCAACTCGTAAAACGAATGCACAGCCGTAGTACCAAACTAATCCTTTTAATGATTTTCCTTGGGGCAGCCTGAACCTGAGTTTCGGCCACCAATGTCGGAAGTGGTTCAAGCGTTGGTTCGATTGGTTCAACGAGCTAATATGAGTAAGAGGACAATAGGGACGGACCAATATGGTTCTCGACGAACCAACAGCACCGATGAATCACATGACTATATGTCCTAAATTGCTGCGCTATATAGCGTTGCTTGACTGTTGGAGATGAGGACTTTGCGATTGTAATCGTGCTGTGTGTTTCTGTTTGATTACAATATTATTAATGTTTATATACAACCCCCTAATTTTAGCTTCAGTTTCAAGTCAACCCTGCACTTTGTAAAATGTTGCAATATAGTCCAACCAGTGTCATCAACTGAAGTTCTTTCATCCTCTCTGTACACGTTGCACTTTATTGGTGTTTCTCTGGTTCTCTTTACAATAGTAATTGTTGGATTAATAATTGAGTCAAATAATTACTAGCTGAATTAATCCCACAATTATAATTTTTATTATTAAAATAAGCATAATCATCAAACGAATATCAAATATAAATAAAAATTTATCTATCCTTAGTCAAAAACTTCAATAGTTAAAAAACTTAAAACATGTAATAAAATATTAATTCATTTTTTACTTGATTAAATAATAAATTGTATTAATAGATAAATGGACTTTTTTAATCATCTTTCTAAAATCAAACCAATTTTTGTAGGTCAATTTTTTCTATTAGTTTCTATAGTCAATTTTAATCTAAATATTTATTAAAATTTTAAATATGATTAAATTACAAAATTTAAAATCATCAAATTATAAAATAAAAAACAAATCTACAATTTACAAATTACAAATTCTGCATATACTAATGATTATTTGTTTTGCCCTTTATGTTCTAAGGCTTTGCATTGATTAATACGAACCGATCCGGATCACACACCTGATTATGTTTGGTGAGCCTTCTAGCAGAGATTTTCTATATATAAAAAGACTCGAACTCAAGATCTGTTTAATTGATATCAAGCTGCTTACCACTTCACCCATCCTCGTTGATTTCATATAGCAATGATAGAACTTAACATTGTGCGGGATCAAAATTTTAAAAAGAATTGAAAATTACATTATTGAAAATGAATAAATTAAATTATATAGACCAAATACAGAAGATATCATAGTAAAGTGAGTAATAGAATAATTTGTCATAATATATATATATATATATATATATATATATATATATTTCTCCGTCTCAGTTTCTCATTTCTTTGTTGAAGCGACGAGGTAGAAGAAAAGGGAGAGACCCAAAGATGGCACCGGAACCAGAAGACGAGTTCAAGGACGAGAAAAACCCACGACCTCTCGACGAAGACGATATTGCGCTTCTCAAAACCTATGTACAACTCTATTTTCTTCCCCCCTTTTATCCTATGAATATTCGATTTGTTTTTCTTCTTCTTTTATTTTCACCTGTCCGATCTATTTCATCTCTGGAAGTTTGCCTAATTGCTTTTGATTATTTAGTTTAGTATTTTATTTGTTGTTTGAGCTGCTATCCTAACATCACACGGAATTTCTAGGGTTTGTAAATTTAAATATATATTATTTGCACTTTTTTCATCTGTATTCACTTCTGTAGTAGCAGTAATACTATTTTTTTTCTGACAGGGTTAGGGCCTTATTCAACCAGCATAAAGAAAGTTGAAAAGGAGATTAAGGAGATGGCAAAGAAAGTAAACGATTTATGCGGTACGGGGTTCACCTATTTCCCGTTCTTATGTTTACGAAGCCCTTTGCTGGCCTTTTTTTTACGTCGTCATGTATTATATGGATTAAACATGATGTTTTGTTTAGGTATACGTTTTGGCTTGTTTTTTGGTGCTTTTTACAGCATGTTGAATAATTTGGGACATGCGTATGTGTATTATATGTATCTTTAACACAATAAAAAAATGGGGGTGGGGAGGGGTTCAATTAATATGGCCTCTCAGTTTATGTTGCCGTGTAAAAATCTGTCAAATGGGTTACGGTGGATCAAGCATAAGCTAGCTGCTTGGGGAATATACCTGCTTGCCCCCCCATTCATAGTTTGCAGTATCTGACCAATATTTACCAGGAAAAGCCTTTTCCTTATAGCATTAGCACATTTCTGCAATCTCTCTTCTTCTCGTGTGTTCTTGATTGCCAGCTGCAAACAGTGTATCGTGCGACTTTGTTTAATAACCATTATTGTCACAATAAGCTATTGAGTAATGCGACCAATATTTAAAGTTAAAAGTACTATTCATTTGCCACTGTTCACAAATTTGTTGAAACAGAGTTCTGTTCTTAATGCGTTTTGACTGTTTAACATGATGGTATAATTTTAAAATAAGGCATCAAGGAGTCGGACACTGGATTAGCTGCACCCAGCCAATGGGACCTTGTCTCCGATAAGCAAATGATGCAGGAAGAGCAACCACTTCAGGTTTTTTAATTTTACTAATGGAATTTTAAGAATGTATTTAAGTTATTTGTGATGAATCATTTTGCCTATATTTTTCATCTAGGTAGCAAGATGCACGAAGATTATTAATCCAAACACAGAAGATGCCAAATATGTTATCAATGTGAAGCAAATTGCCAAGGTATGTAATTTAAGACCCTGAGTTCCATGTTTACCAATTGGGGTGATTTAACTTAAACCTTCTAGTTAAATCACTTAATTGTCAGAAGATGGGCATTGATTTTCCTTTGATATGCATTTGGGTTCTCACTGCAGTTTGTTGTCGGGCTGGGTGACAAAGTGTCTCCCACTGATATAGAGGAAGGCATGCGTGTTGGGTAAGTTCTCTATTTGGTACTAAAAGGTTTCAGGCATGAATTCTTGTTACTGTGCATGTATCGTAGTTTACAATTTACCTAAAGTTTTATATCCTGTAAATAATTTATTTCAAGTTTTATATCCTATAAATAATTTATTACACCCGCTGCAGTTTTATTGTTGCATCTTTTTGTAGCCTTTATAGCTTTGTAGGTAGATGTTTATTTGCAATTTTTGGATTATTTGTTTGTTTCCACTACTAGGGAGCACATAGAAAACCACAAGACATTCATTTTGAACCACTGTTCATTTGCTTTGTTTTGTAACCTTTTTCTCTTTAAAACAAAGATTTAACCTTAACAATACAGTCACTTGGCACCAAGTTTGTTTTACATATGTTCACCTCATTTTGAAGTGCTGATAAGTTTCTTTTTTACTAAAAAAAATTGCGGTAACAATTTAATGGTCATACTTTTATGATATTTCACTTTTGTGTTCATTTTTCGTTTTTGAAGCAAACTCTGCTTTTAAGTCCTTGTATGTTCTTATCTTTGATTGTGTATAAACTTCTCACTGATCGACTGTTCTTATGTCTTTTCAGGGTTGATCGCAATAAATATCAGATACAGATTCCTTTGCCTCCTAAAATTGACCCAAGTGTGACCATGATGACAGTGGAAGAGAAGCCTGATGTGACATATAATGATGTTGGTGGATGCAAGGAACAGATTGAAAAGATGCGAGAAGTATGTGTGATCTTTTTTATGTTAATATGTATAAGCAAACACATAGAAAGCTATTATTTATTCTTCTATAATAGGTTAGGATTAAAGCCTAACATGTATTGATTGACGAGCTTGGTTCTTTTAGGTTGTTGAGTTACCTATGCTTCATCCAGAGAAATTTGTCAAGCTTGGAATTGATCCTCCTAAGGGTGTTCTTTGCTATGGTCCTCCTGGAACTGGCAAGACACTTCTCGCTAGAGCTGTTGCGAATAGAACTGATGCTTGCTTCATTCGTGTTATTGGAAGTGAGCTTGTTCAGAAGTATGTTGGTGAAGGAGCTAGAATGGTTCGAGAACTGTTTCAGGTTATAACCTGCAAAAGTTTGCTGTTTAAATTTTAGACTACCTTCTTTTGCCTTCATTAAGCAAAAATGTTATCTGCTGCAGATGGCACGATCAAAGAAAGCTTGCATTGTGTTCTTTGATGAGATTGATGCAATCGGGGGTGCACGATTTGATGATGGTGTGGGGGGAGACAATGAGGTTCAGCGTACTATGCTTGAGATTGTGAACCAGCTTGATGGCTTTGATGCTCGTGGAAACATTAAAGTCTTGATGGCAACAAACAGGTTAAAGATGCAACCAATAGTTTCATCCTTTTTCGCGTCAGTTTTGTCTTGTGAAACAATCCAGCAGTTTATTTTTTATCTTTACACCATTGTGACTCGGACATAATCCAATAACCTTCACATAAGGTTTTATTTGATTAATTGTACAAGTATTTGAATGTATAGGAATATGATTTTTGCATTTGTCTCTTTATTTTTGCTATTTTCAGGCCAGATACGCTAGATCCTGCATTATTACGTCCTGGACGACTGGATCGTAAGGTTGAGTTTGGTCTTCCTGATTTGGAGAGTCGGACACAGATATTCAAAATTCACACAAGAACAATGAACTGTGAGCGTGATATTAGATTTGAGCTTTTGGCCCGCCTTTGTCCTAATTCCACTGGTAAGTTTTTTTCTGTGAAGTTTCTTGTTTTATTTGTTTTACTGTCAAACTATGGTTTTTAATTCGGATTTACTTGTGGTTTTAATTGGCAGGAGCCGACATAAGAAGCGTGTGCACAGAGGCTGGAATGTATGCCATTCGGGCTCGAAGGAAGACAGTGACAGAAAAAGACTTCCTTGATGCTGTCAACAAAGTCATCAAAGGTTATCAAAAGTTCAGTGCAACGCCCAAATACATGGTTTACAATTAATGAAGTTTGTTTTAGCTCCTGTCTGTCTTAAACCAAAATATGTGTACTTTTTTCAATCTATTGAAACAGATTTTCGGTGCTTCTTTTTCATAAATTTGTTTCAATAGGGATTTCGCATATGCCTCCTTCCTGCTGCTTTCTTTCGCGTGAGCAAAAATGAAAAAAGAGGTGGAGAAAATGACTAATTCCCAGGTCAAAACCCACCAAGACAGCATCTCAATTAAAGCTGTGTTTTTTGCTTGAAAGGACTCGCATTCCATCGTTGAAATTTGGAAGGACAAAGAATAAATTAATTAAAGTTACATCGTTGTAGGTTTGTAATTTCTTTTCACCTGGTGATTGCAGCCTAGTAATCAAACCTGCATGATAGGCTGTCTTAATAGATGTATACACGTAAATATACAACATACACGAGCACCACAGTTTTCCATGGAAACTCCAAACCAAGATTTTAGTACTCATGATCGGAAGATTTTAAGGCAGGTCAATAGAGCTAAATGTGAAGATAAGAAGTACCCTTTCCACCCCACTACTTATCTAATATTAGAATTTTAATAAAGTACCTACAGATACATCTGTGCTTCAAGTGCAGGTTATGAAAACAAGTTTTTGCCAATTGCGAATGTTACATATGGGCTGACAATAGCGTAAACTGAAAACGTTAAATATAGCTGATAATAGGGTATGGACTCCACAACGCAGTGGCAGTACCTAAGCCGATTCATGAAGGTCGTTGGCCTTTATCGCACGTTATTCATAGCTCAATTCAGGAAGCACAGATGAAGATCTGTGACTTAGTTTATGAAATTTATGAAGCTCCTTCAGCGACTTCAACAAGCCTACCATGGACCCATTTCTAAGTTACAGCAACTGCTTTAGAAGCCACGTTACTGTCCTTCATCAGACCTTTGGTTCCATTGATAATCCTATTTATTTTCAACGGTTCAGTTGCTTAAGTGAATCAGACTTCTTAATCAAATTATCCAAATTGAGAGTCAATGGACTATGAGCTCAGAGAAGTTCATCACTGCCACCATTCAGTATCCTTGGGAGTATAGAATTGGGGAAACTAAAGTCGTTTTTCTCACTTAATGAAAGGAATTGGTTCCCATTCACTTCTTTCTGGTCTGCTTGGCTCAAACTACTATTTTCCGGACTGCGTTGTTTTCTCAACGAGGCTAAACGGATCATTGGATGTAATCCGTCCTCGCTTTATCGATTCAATTGATTGAATTGCTTCTGCTATAAGCTTTCTAGTTTCAATGAGTGAAGCTCGAGCAACAGGGCTCTTCACTGCAGCAACTTCAAGGGCTTTTGCAGCCTTCTCAGCATCAGCAATTAAAAGTCAGCAGTGTCATATATAATCGTTGAGTTATCCAGTGAATTAGCAAACTATTTTTTCACATTGGTATACCCAAAATGCATGAGGATGATCCATGGGAATGATTAAGACATCATGTTATATGCTGGGAGATTATAAGCAAAGACTAACCTTGCTCGTTCAACAGCCTCGGTTTTCTTCGATTCTTCAGCTGCTCTGTGTGCTCCGATGTTCTTCAACATCTCAAGCTTGGAACTCGCCATGACATCCTTATAAAGTGGTTTATTTTTTCTTCGTAACCTCAACCACTCGATTGGGGTTATATTCTTACTAGTAGAACAAAAGCTGGTTTCATTAGCTTTCATCTTGGAAGGGCTCTGCTTAGACTGTATACTAGTCGTTGGCTTCCTCTTTGGTTTTCTTTGAGCCCCTTCTGATATGCCATGATATTTCATCAAGCCAGAGCAAACTCTCTCACAGTATTCCTATTTAGGAAATGAAAACCCACATTTAGATGCGAAGCATCAAGGATATCTTGTAAGCATTAAAATCAACATGAAGTAGCATCAGTTCGATTAATTCGATGTTAGGTACTTTCACAGTCCATAACAATGCAAGCACTTACAGGATCGGCCCATTTGGCTGCAATGGCTTCAGCAATTTTCCTTCTTTGTTCAGGTGATTTGGTGCTCTCCTGCTACCTTTTGGTCTAGGCATCGTTTTCCTTTGTTCGACGCTCTCCAGCCATTCCTTTGTCAACTGCTCATCTAGCATCTTGTACGAATCCCACTGCAGCACTTCCTCACCAATATAGCCTTTTCTGGAAGCTTCAGCAATCAAGTCCATCCACTCAAAGTGGCAAGTTTCCTGCACCATTAACTTCTCACGGCGCCTTTCCCATCCCATCCTTACTCCTGTTGCAATTCTTTCTCTCGTCTCTTGGCTGTAGGATAATCATGGAGTCAATGTAGATATTAACTAGGTAGAGAAAACTATAAATAACTTTTAGAATTTTGACATATGGTAAACGAAAACATAAATCCAAGATTTAGGACATATATAAGATCGCTAAATGACTAGGAATTACAAGAACTAATAGAGTACTATCGAAGAACCGAAACCCTGACTGTAAAGTACCCACCTCTGAGCATGTCCAAGGTTAACCAACTTCATTCTAACCTGCATTTTGAAATTTTTATTAAACAACACTGAAGCAATTATATATGATGATATGATAGCACCATTAACTCCCTATTCAAATAGTTCATTTCCTCTTTTATGCTACAGAGCTTTCATACCAATTTATACGTCTATAATAAAAGATTGTTTATTTTCATACAAATTAGTTATTTTTGGTTATATGCTTAACTAGCATCCATAAACCAAATATTAGTCCATAATCCATCCATAATGGGATTATGATGGTAAAAAGAACTGCTTGGACCAGTTATATTAATTCAAATAGATATAACTTAATCTCTGGAAAAATGGTTTGGTTTCACTATATGCACCTAAAACATACTAAGTTCAATCCCTCATAAACATAAAAAAAATTCTTACATGACATCACCTTAGGATTCTGCATAGCAAGCCTTGTTCTCTCCCTTATCCGCAGAAGTGTCTCTGCAGATGAAAACACATGCATTTGTGGTACATCCAAGAATGCACTAATTAAAACAGAAACAGGATGATTATAGAACCAAAGTCAATTACCGGTACTGTGCTTCCTGCCTTTGTTCCATGGTGTGTTTCCTTTATTTGCTTTAGAAATTCTCCTCCGTCTTAACTTTTCTCTGTCATCCAGTTCTTCATCTGAGTCCCCGGGAATGAAGGATTCAAGCTGAGTTGACGAAGGAGTCGAACCACCACCAAGCTGTGACTTCTTGTGTTCATCTTCTTTTGGAACTGAGCACTTGGGTTCAAGGGTAGCAACAGCTCTAATCTGCAGTCTTCCACTTGGATTCTCCAGTTGCCCCACGTGAAAATTTACTCTTGTAGGCAATTTCCATGTATTAGTTGAGAGTTGACCATGAATAAGGATTTGAACCCTCACTGGACTCTGCAATGAAGGTTGAGCGCTGGCAATATCTGTTCACGCAGTCGAGCACAATAAGGATGTTCATACTTAATTCTCAGTAGAATCTGGTGAAGTGATTCACAAACAACGAATAAAACCTCTGGAAGCAGAGAAACACAATGGAAAGAAAGACAAACCAGTAAGAAATGTGTACCTAGTAAAGTCATGGATGCTCATTCAGCCCAAAGAATCAAACTCGGGACTTGTACTCTTAGCAAAATAATAATAACATACTTGAGGTGCAACATTTCAGTGACCAAAAAAAAAAAAAGATTTGTTCCCTTCCAATAGTGATAATTTCAGAGTAACACAAGCGTAAAGAGCCTGGGTCAGATAGGTGTAGAAATTTAGATGCAGAGGAAGAGCACAAAAAGTTGAAACAATGTGAAGCAGAGAGAGTCGCACAGACACTGGTACTGCAACGACAATTTGTCTGATATTTGCAGTCGGTTGGTTTGGATAACGTGCCCAGGTTCAGCCTTTACTGTATCAAAGGCAAGGATCAGTATTAAAGGGCCGAATGATTTGGTGGGTTAGAAAGGCCCATTGAAAACATTTTAAAAGGTCGACTTCTTCTCGTAGCTCCTGTGGCTGTGGTCCTTCGTCTAATTTATGATGGCAAAACAGAAATGAAAGAAAACGGAATTAACAGTGAAGTTTCTTAAAAAAAGTATTAAGTAAATCATTTCATTAAAAAATACCATGCGTCACTTTTAAGTGATTAATAATTATTACACATATTATATACACGAATATTCGAACTCAACACCTTTAAAAGAAATAATATTTTCTTTAAACATTAAAATATTTTAATAGATTTTAAAAATTATATATAATTCATATATTTATCAAGGGTTAAGGTTAAAATAAGTGTTTAAACTATAGTCTAAGTTAATTATAGGTGCGTAAATAATTTTTCGTTAAAAATAGGTGTTTAACGTTTTCTCTATTACACTTTTAGGTGCCTAACATTTTCTTCGTTACATTTTTAGATGCATACATAGTAACTGTTGTTAAAAAAATAATTAAGTGATACGTGTCATATTTATATTTCGGCTTAATACAAAAATAAGTGTCCAAATTATACCTTAAATGTTAGTTAACTTTAAATACCTAAAATTTTTGTTAAAAATATGTGCATAACATTTCCAAGTTACACCCTTAGGTTCATACACAGAAATGACTGTTAAAAAACTATTAAATAATATGTTTCATGTTTATATTTTTTGGAAAACTTAATAATATTATTAATAAAAAAACTAATTTTTTCTAAAATTTAAAAAGAAAACTTTAATCCTAAAATCTCTCATTTCAACCTTATTATTAATGGTCGTCGGACTTCTGCTGTGGAACATCCCTCTTCTTGTCGTCTCAATCCCCTTATAAATCCAAACTTAAACCCCTAAACTTAATACCCCAAATTTTGAAGAGAATTTTGAATGCAACTTGAGAGTGGGATAATTTTTGCACAAGTGAGACGGAAATTTTTTTTTCTTAGAAAATATTTGTTTAAAATAATATTTCAAAATTTTAAAAACATATAAACGCTATACATATCAAATAATGACCGTTATAGCCTAGACATCTAAAAGTGTAACGTCATAAATATTAGACATATATTTTTAGTGAAAAATTCTTTAGTCACCCAAAGTTAACTTAGAGTATAGTTTAAACATTTATTTTTGCATTAAACCAAAAATATAAACATAACACGTGTCAGGGTTTCTTTTAACGGTTGTTTCTGCATATACACCTAAAAGTGTAACAGAAAAAAATGTTAAACACCTAAAAATAAAAAGGAGAAATCTGTCAAAGTAGGTGTCTATTATTTATGCTCGTAAAGTTAAAATATATAGTTTTAGCATTAAGAGCATCTCCAACGCTGCGCTGGAGTGAAGATAGAGATGCACTGTAGTGGCTCTAGTGCTGCGCTAAATGCATCTCCACTTTGAAGATCTCTGGGTTTGCAACGCTACATGTAGCATGCTACTGTAGCAACACTACAAAAATCAAATTTTTTTATTTTTGATTAAATTATAAGATAGATAAAAATACATTGAAATTAGATAAATAATCATACTACTTTTTTTTTTGTAATTTTCTGATTTTTTATATTTTTTTCTAATTTTTTTAAATTTACAAAATTAATATTATAATAGTTAAATATTGTGAATAAAGTAGAGTTGATAGAAATGTAAAGATAACGCTGGAGATGAATTACTGTTTAATCTCTAGAGTAGAGATAGATATATTATAGAGTAGAGATGAGGGCTAGAGATAGCCTAAACCATCGATCTATTATTTATCCTTAGAAAACATCAAATAGTTTGATAATGTAAATGAAAAATGACATTAAAACTGAAATACTTATTTTGAAAAATAATCAAACTAAAACTAAGAGAATTCTGTCCAAAAAAAAAACACAGCCGGACGCCGGTAATTAAAATCCTGTCAAAGTAGGTGTCTCGGTGCATTAGCAGTCATGGGCAGCTTCCGATTATAGAAGTTTCCTATAATTTCGTCATATATTTACATCCTATAATTTCGTCATATATTTTACTATTTAGAATTTTCTGGGTGAATACTTAGCCGACTGTAGTCAGCCGATAAGTTTTAACTAACCACTGCCGCCACTAAGCTTAATCTTCGGCTTTTGTAAGGTTACGGACACGACCTTGAAACTTCCAGCTTAGTTTCCCTTTCCAGCAAGTTGCCTTTAACGGATTGACCACACTACAGCACACAGCCCCTTTTGGTCTTCCTTGTCATTCTATGAGACACAAACCCTAATTTGACTCCAACCCACCACATAAAATTTCCTTGACAATCACTCTGTTCACCCAAGATATGCCCCCAGTGCTAGTCAATCTCGCGGCTTTCCTCGTCGTCGGCTGTCTTCATGTTTACAAAAAATGGTCAGATACTCAGATCAATGGTTTGTAGACATTGGAAGCGGCCGTGAAGTTGAATGCGTGATTTGCCTTGACAAGGTCTGCGAAGGGGAAAAGCTTCGGTCCTTGCCGATATGCCCCCATGGCTTTCATGTTCATTGCATTGATTCATGGCTCCAAGTTCGTCCCACTTGCCCTCTATGCAGGATTAACGTAGCGCCCCAAACGAATTTTATCTTTTCTTCGTTGCTTTCTTTGGCTGAAAGACTCGGAAAATGGGTAGAAACCCCACTTTATTTGGAGCTTAAATCGGCAGTTTGTGAGAGTTTTGGCTATATTTGATCAACTTAGATAGCCTACCGTGCAACCAAGTTTCCTTCTTTGATGGCTTCTTCTTAGAGCGGAGACAAGGCAATACTCTGTATGTGTTCAGTTATTTGCGTTTTATTTACAAACACGGTAGCCTCAGATATTTTTTCATTTCATCTGTTATATTTTCATTTATTAATTTAAATTATTTCTATCGTATTAAAATTGTTAATTTTTGCGAGAGAAAATAAAATAAACGAAAAATAAAATATTAAGATGAAAAGAAAAGGGGAAACCCAACATTTCGAAATGTAAGAGAAATTGGAAGCCCAAACTGACTCAAGCCAATGGACCACGTTGTTTTCCTTTTCTGCTGAGCGGGACGTCTAGCCAGCACGTGGTTCAGGCTTTAAAAGAAAACACATTTCCTTTTCTGTGATTTTGGAACGGGATGGAGGCAAAATTTAGAATTGTTAGTTGATATAATAGTGAAATTATATTTTGATCTCTTTAGGTTTTTAAGATAAGTCTTGAATATAATCGTATGATTGTAATTAAGATTAATTAATAAAAATAATATAATTAATAACTCTATATAATAGGGTTTTCTCCTTTTTCAAACTTAGGTTTACCATGATATTTTGTGACGTCTTTTTATTTTCTTTTAATTTTTATTTAGTCACCGACGACGTTAATCTTATTGTTAATTATCGATCGCTGATGATTATTAATTCTCTTTTTTATATATATTATATATTTTCTTTTTCTTTTTTACTTGAGTTTTTTTTAATAAGAATATTTTTCTTTATGACACTTTTTTTTTTGTTTTTGTGGCACAATCTTTATAACTTTTGGTATGTTTTTTTCATATATTTTTACGGTCGTTTTGGTGCTCGCACAAACATTTATTTTTTATTTGATTTGTCAGTGGTGAAGTATAGTCATATTCCCTCTTTAGTAAAAGATTGTTGGTCGATATAATCAGAACTGTGTAATGAAGTATCCTGCCATATACTTTGATTCACTCACCACTCTTTTATCACTTCGTAAAACGTATTATACTATAAAGATAAAAAAAATTATGAAAATTATTAAGTTATTTTGATATTAATAATTATTCTTTAAGGTAAAAGAGTTTTTACTAAGGTTATTAATTTTTTTATATTAATCATTATTCTTCGTAAAAGGGAAGGGTCGTAAAAGTAATTTTAATAGGTTAAAAATCAAACATGCTTATTGGGTTATAGAAATTAAGAACTTCTGAATTTGTCTTTGAGCCGCTGTGGGGTTTGACTGTTGAGCTTGAGTAACTTTTACCTTTTCCACTTTTGTTTTCTTCTTTTATTTATTATTTTCAAATATTAGCTATTTAATTGAACAAATCTTTTATTATTATTATTATATTATTATTATTATTATTATTATTATTATTATTATTGTTTTAATCTAACAAATATAGGAGGCTAAGTTTACATGTAAAAAGAGGATCTAATTTTCATGATGTATAATGGTGGGTTTTAAATCTTGAAACATAAATGGTATATAGTATATTTTTTTACAAAAAGTTGTCATATTTTTAATTTAAAATATTGTAAACATTTAAATAATAATTATATTCCACATTTTAAATAATATTCACATTTCATCCACTCACTCTTTTGTTTATGTTTTTCTTAATGACAACTTGATATCATCGGTTGGTCATTAATTATGAGGAGGAATATCATTCACCGTTCATCATTTTGCCTAAGTATAATTTATGTTGGGGGCTACGTTGAAACGCTAAAAGTAAAAAAGCCCAAAATGGTGGACAAATCATGACTACTGCTGAATTGCTTCAATGTGACCACAGCGGTTAATTGCATGCGAAATGTTTAAATATAATACTATAGTTTCCTCTTGTAAAAAGCTAATTGAATATTCAGAAGCCTTAATGATTTTGGTTAATGGGATAAATCAAATGATTTCAACGATTAATAGAGATAATTATTATTTTCATAAGTTTTAGATTCGAGCACGATATTTATAAATATTCATTATCAAATGTTTTTAAATATTTACGCTACGTGGGTTCACTGTTTAGTCTTTGTCGACGTCATCGTCTCATGCACGCATTCATACGCAGTAAAATTATGTTAATTTGATTGGAGTTGAATTCGGGGTTTGTGATGTTTATATGCAATTGATATTTGTTAGGATCCTAAGTGCTCATAAAAAGAGGGTTTAAGCCAGTGACGGATGCACTAAGTCCCGGGTCAAGTGCATTCCCATTATTTTGAAAAAGTGATTAAATTTAGCTTAATGTGTTAAGGAAAAAAGAAAAAAAATTACAATTTTTGCATACCTATTATTTTTAAGAAAATAAAATTAAAATTTTGGACCCCTATTCTTAAATTTCTGAATCCGCCACTGGTTCAAGCAATGCAATGATTTTGGTGAGAGTTGCTCTTAACCTGGCGTTAGGGGCAACCTATTATCCTACCTCCCCTTACCCCATTACATATGAGAATAAGATCAACTAATTTTAAAATTTATTTAATAATTTATAATGCTATATACTTGTAAATATTTGTTTAAATTCATGATATCTAAAAAGAATATATTATCTCTGATCACCAATGTTACGTATGAATATTCCAATATTCATTTATGATGAATAATAATAAATAGATAAATACTTGCCATATCTTTTCCTATCAAATTAGTGGAGCTTATTTGTTTAAAATCGCATAAGCATGGGGGCTTCATATTGTAAAAATAAATGGTTGGTGCATAAAATTTGTGATGGAGTCTTCCTCAGCTTTGTAGCGAAGTTTTACCGTGAGACAGTCTTAATATATCACTAAAGAAAATCGTTATCAAAATAAAAAAATATCTAAAACTTAATATTTTTAATATTTCTGGTAAAATGTCCAATAATACAAATCGGTATAAAAAATAATAAAATCTATAGTATTTTATCGGATATGTTAACAAAACTGATAAAGCGCCTAATAATAACAAAACCGGTAAAATAATAATGTTTCCAAAATTTTTACTGATTTTATTTAAAAATAATACAAAAACCGATAACACATTTCCTTAGCCGTATATTAAAGTTACCGCACGTGAGACTTTCCTCAACTTGTATGTCCTCCATTGCACTGATGAAATGGAATGCGATTCTATATCTTATTCTTAATTTTAAACCAGAATTTTACAATTGTTCATATTGGACGTATAGTATTTCATACGTGCGCATCTGAAATATTATCTAAACCCTTTTAAGTAATTTTCTTCATTATAATTATTGCAATATTGAATTAGATAATCGATTTAATTTATATTAAAATAAATCTAAACTAAACTCATAAAGTTAAATTTGAATATCAGACCTAAATGAACATCATTTTCTTACATTTCATCCATTAGATTCATATTAAAAAAACAACGATGATTTCTCTTAATTATTTATTTCTTATTTTTTTTTTAAAAAAAGCATAAAGTATTTTTTCACTTTATTAATTAATTTATGAGAATTTTAATTCAGTGATATGAAGGCTGTTTCCATAAAGTTGGCGGGGGATTTGGTTTCAGAACCCTTGATGATAATAAGTTGAGAGGGGTAGATAGTAAATAGATATGGAAATTTTAGAGGGTGAAGAGAAAGATGAGCCTTTGTCAAAAAAAACAGTAAATGTGGTGAAGTTTCGTCTTGTTTTGGATTATTCCAAAAAACCTAAATGAGTAGCTGCTCACTTTAGAAAAGGAAAAAGAAAAAAGAAAACAAGAAGCTGAAATTATGGTTTTTACATGAATATTTTATATATATATTAATTTTTGAACAATTAACAAAAATGAAAGGATGAAATTAAAATATATATTAAATCAATAAATTCAAGTATAACCAAATTTAAGTACAATAAAAAGACAAATAATTTGATCAAAGACAACTTATGCTATGGTTGAGCAGTGCCACAACAAGAAGAAGGATTTGGAAATTTGAAGGTAGGGTTGTCATGTGATGGGAAGAAATTTCTTTAAAATGGGATCAAAGCTATTACAATGACAGGGTTTACAGTGACATGAGATTACTTTATTAATTTACCCGAAAAAGCAGATACGGTAGAATACTAGGAAGCCTATCATGGTTAAAGGCCATTAACAAGAGTCATAAGGGTTGGACCCTAGAAGCGTCATCTTCTTCGCTTGTTGTTTCAGCTCAACGCTCCCTGCCCAACTTTTCTGTCAAGGCAAAGTCCAAGAGCTCCTTTTTTTCACTTTGATTCTTTCAGCATATATAAAGTCATCAAAGTGGACTTTCTCTATCGGGGGATCCCTTTTTTGAATTCTCTTCCAACTTGTATCTACATTTTCCTAATCACCTTCCCAAGTCGCATTTTAGTGCGTCTCTTGGTTTATGAATCTAAAGCCCCATTTTATGATCTGCGGTTTCCTTAATTTCCTTCCATTTCTCTATATTTGCTTGATTGCCTCCTTTACTTGTTAAATCCTATCTGGGTTTCCTTCATTTGCTCAGGAAACAAAATCCCAGATGAGTTCTGCAATTTTGGACTCTTGTCGAACATAAGAGATACAGAGTTATTCTCTCTCTCTCTCTCTCTCTCTGCAAGATTTTACTTCAACTCTCGTTTGGGTATCCCACATTTTCCCGGAAACAAAATCTCACTTTGAGTCTTTACTGTTTTCTTTTATAGTGGATCTTACCCGGGTTTGATGAATCAGCCATGGCAATAACTGGGAAGATCATGGTCATCGCCATAATAATTCTCTTCTTAGTGGTGGTCTTCGTGCTTTTCCTTCATCTTTATGCTAAATGGTTCTGGTGGCGCGTCGAAGAACCAACTCCCCCTTCTCTTCACGCCGCCGACGTCGTTTCGTGTTTGCTCCGGGACAAGAGACTGCTCATCCTCTGCGTGCAAAAAAGGCCTTGATCCCACAATCCTTGCTTCCCTTTCCGTTCTAATGTTCACCCAAGAAGAGTTCAAGGAAGGACTCGAATGCGCCGTTTGTTTGTGTGAGGTTGAGGAAGG